AGCAAGTGGTATAGTTAAATAAGGTTCAAAAAGATAACCAGCACATGATGCATTGTAGTGCACAGAACATAGATTTTGCAAAAGATGACTTTTGATTACTTCAGGAGTATTTTCAGGATTCTCTTTCACATATTCTATAAATGCCAAGATGGGAAGCGGTTCTGCTATGCGTACTGTGATAGCATCCTTTTGGAACATAGTTAAATTTTCTGGATCATCAATACTGTCTAGTTGTGCAAAGCCATATTGAACCATTTCGGCAACACCATCACCTCTCACATACTTTGTCCATCGAGAAAACATACTAAAAATAGTAACATCCCGTACTTTGTTCCACACTACTTTCTTCTCAAACAAAAAAGGAAAGCATGTGTCCTTAAAGGTACGGATTATGAATTGCTTTGCTGAATCCTGCCAACTCCTTACGACATCATCTAAATTAGAATGGGATATTGAGAAAGTCTCCAATATAGCATGTTCCAAAAACTGAACTACAAATCGTCGACGACCTTGAAAAATATTAAATGTGCTAGTCATTTGACTGTCATTTAGTGGCAAAAACCGCAAAATGAATTCTTTCATTTCACTAAATTCGTAGAAACCATCATTAATAGTAAAAAAATTCTCAGATGTGGGACCACCTGACTTAGCAATAGCAGATGTAGTGTAAATCTTCATATCATCGAAAGCCATTCCTGTCCCTGATAATATAAGACACAAGTTATTTGTGCCGAGATCAAGTACTGTACGAAGTAAGATACTAAAAAATGGTCGTAGCTGACGATCAGCTAGTGTTGTGGTAAACATGTACTCAAACTTTTTGATGGCTGCTTGTGATTCATCGATAACAATTGGTAAATGTTCTTGTGTAGGGATCAGATTTTTAAATTTTTCGGTAAAATCAGTAATAAGTATATTCTGATCTTCTTCCTTTAAGTTACGAAAAATATATGAAATGGAAATCCAAAAGTTATTTGTGCATGGCAAGAGTTGCATTAAAAGCCATTGCTTTGGTGTAAAGTTACTATGAATTTCCAGAAGTTTGTTCAAAATAAATAGTCGGCCAAGGATCATGGCACGAGTAAAACGAAGTGCCACCCGAGTATTCTTTTCATGATTTATGGTTAAATAGTTTGCTAATTCATTAATAGCAATGTCCAAATCTTTCGATCCCAAATTCATTTTGAACCCATTTTCAGCGTTTATAGTGAAATAAATCCCATATATCTGGCAAAATAACTCAAATAAAGAACGAGTTTTTCCAGACCTAAAATAAAAAAATTTTTTTAATAATATATTTTCTGAATCAAATATAGTATAAGAATATCCATTTTTTATCAATTTTATTCTTGTAGCTCTTATACTATATATGATCTCATTTGTTTTGCAAGCATTCCGTTCTTAATCTTATAATTAGTCATGTTCTTACCCTGAGGTACCAATTAGAAAGAACCAGCTATTATTTATGACTTTATTGCGTAGTTCAAGAAGTTTTTCTTTCTGAACATAGCTTTCAGTGATAAGCTGGTCATTATCAAGATCTGGCAATGAATGTAAAATGAACATAGGCTTTTTTTTAATGGTAGGTATTCTTGCTATGTTAATGTTTTCAGCAAATATGTGGTTTGTAACTATGAAATTTTCCAATTCGATTAACTTGGTCAGAACATTTTGAGATTTAGACCAACATTCATTCGCTTTCTCCAATACTTCAGTTACTATAATAATAAAAATTTAGCAATTGCGAATAAATGCAGCATTTACTGGAGAGTCAAACTTTATAACTTACCGTTAGCAATAGGCAATTCTACAACAACTTAAATGCATTAAAGAAGTATTTATTACATAAAGCAAAAAAAAAAGAACAAGTTTTAAATAAATACAATATTGCGCAAAACTAAAATTATAATAAGTTGGCATTATTTATTGAGAATATACCAGATTCAGAGATTAAATTCTTTAAATAATCGCATTTTTCCTTCTCAGTTGAGCATGAACGAAGGGCGGCATTTGCTGAACTCACTAAAGCATAGTTTTTAGTGAAATAAGTGCGTATGGTCGCTTTTTCTTCTGCTGTGAAATTAGGATGATTAAGTATGCGGTAAATATCTGTTAATCCAATATCCATATTAATGAAGATAAATAGGCAATATTCATTATAGGAAACGGAAAAGAACAAGAGCGTAAGTATTATAAATCTAATATTTCTTGAGACTTAAATAGAAGCAAATTCAACATTATTTGAGAATATACCAGATTCAGGAATTAATCTCCTTAAATAAGCACACTTCTCATCACCAGCTGAACATAAACGAAGAGCTGTGCTTTCTGAATTTGTTAAATCATCATTCTTAGCAAAATAGGAGCGTAAGGCTGCTTTTTCCTCTTCGGTGAAATCAGGATTATTAAGGACTGTATAGACATCTGTTTATCCATACCAGCAAAGTGGATTTTGGTGTTAGTTAAAAGCAAAATAGAAATATAACATATGTATTAAATATACTGTATTACATATATTACGTAGTTCAGGGATTAGATTTCTCAAGCAATTATGTATTTCATCTTTTGTTGTGCAAAAGTTAAGGATTGCACTCGTTGAATTTATCGTTGTTAAAGAACAGTTTTTGATGAAATAGGTTTGTATAACTGCTTTTTCTTCTTCTGTAAAATCCGAATTTTTAACTTTGGAAAAAATGACTGCTAAACCCTCGTCCATATTGATATCAATATTAATGATGTGATGTAGCTGAGATAAAAACTACCGTATTCAAAATTGAGGGTATATATACCGGTGAATTGTAACCACTAAACGGGGTTCTTTTTACTGAGCAGGCCCCTTTTATCTGTAGAATTGCGTCACATATATGACAAATCGTACGTACGTACGTTATAGCGGGCTGGGCGACAAGTCATATTGACTCGGGACCTGAAATGCGCATTGGTCGACAAAAGAGAAGGCATTTAATAATGCTAATTTGGGTTTGGCTTGAGGCGAAGCTCCATTGAGAACAGTAGTAAGGCGTCTCTAGTATTCACATGCTGGGAACTAAAGTCATTGTCATATAAATGTATGAATTGCTTTTTGTTATCCCTAGATTCCCCGATGCTCTAAATAGCCATATTGCTTGTTAAGATCTTAATCGTAGAAGCAAAGCCCCGATGCTGCTTGTAATGTATAAATGCACATTGATTTCATGTAATTAAACGAGCAGAGTGTATAGATAATAAGTAAGAATCATCTAACCTGGGGAAGTAGGATCCTTGATTCTTGGAGCAAATCTTCCACTCCGTCTTTCGAGTAGCCTTAATCTTTGTTGCGTTTTAGGTTGTGTGACTCCAAATCCGCACTTCTACAATGTATGTTGTAAAATGGAAAATTACGTACTATACGTACGTACGTACGTACCAACCCGAATTACTGCGGTTCTCAACGTAGTACGAATTTCATTATTCTGAGATCTGATATCTAAAATCCGTAGTATATTAGAAATCCTTAGAATAAAAAAGATAGTAAATATATGAAACAGTCATGATTCTTAGTATTTCCAATATCTACATAATATTCAATATATATTCTAGGTAAAAATAAGCATATAAGCGAACCATTTCACTCTGAGTAAAGATAACTCAGTTGGAGTTCAACATTGTAAAGTGTTTGGCTCTACTAACTCTCCCAGATAAGAAAATCTATAGTACAGTAATAACGATAGGAATTAGTCACCTAATCCCGTAATTGTGTACTAAGAGACCCGTGACGTTGTCAAGAGATATAATTACCCTAGTTACTCGGACCAAGTCTTTCCACACCTCGATCGAAACCTTACTATGATTAGGGCTAAAATAGAGTAGTTTAGTTAGTATAAAGTATAGTGTTATATTGTAGTACTTGTGTTATCCAGAACCCACAGTATTTTTTACCTTCTTCAACGTACGTACATATTTTGTAAATAATCATTTAGCAATTGACAAAAAGAACCCAATAGACGACTTGCAAACAACGAACCTCAGTGCCACGATACGAAGATAAAGTATTAATTTCTCATAGATTTTATTAAGCAAACGAATAATCATTTATCTTTATTATCTCATTTATTTATGATGCATACTGTGCTGTGTGCGACAAAAATTATACAGCATTAATAGCCAAACTTAGCATTGCACTTCCTCTTTTCGATACTCTAATAAAAGAGCGATATTAAAAAAACATTTGCTGAAGTTAAATCGTTCGCACTATAATGATTCACTTCTTAATAATAAATTAACGTTGAAATTTGTACTCGTAAAAAAAACGATACGTAGTAGGTAGACCAGTTTGATATATACAGTATGATAGGATTTCGTCCGAAAAGTATTTCGAAGCATTCTACTGCCGCAAGGTGATGTATTTGCATGAAGGTAATACACCTTCAGGTGGCTTGTAGCTAATTCTCAATCAGCTGGATTTGGCTTTGCAATAAATGTAATCGAAGTAAGAATGAAAAATAATGGTAAGTTTAGTGCAAGCGTTTGAAAGAAGTGCATCCATGACAATTACAAAACATTTCATAAAACTTCTATTATGATTAGAATATTGAACATTAGTAACTGTACATTATTGACTCGCGCATTCGGATATTTATAACGGTTAATACCAATATTTGGGTGTTTTGTGGGATATAAGTTGGAGTTAGTTTTGGCAGGCGAAACTTAGAGGTTTTACCACAGACGAAAGACGAAACCTAGTTCGACTTTCGCCAAAAAAAATTAAAATGGCGAAAGGTAGCGAAACTGGCGAAACTCTGCAAAACTGTGGCGAAACTAAAAAAGGTAAAATTAATAAAAAAGTAAGAATAAAAAGATAAATAAAGATAATTATTTTATTTCTATATATATATAACATTATATATTATTCATATTATATTTATTACAATATATAAATTTTTTATAATAAAAAATTTAATATAAATAATTTTTATATTTATTTATAAATTAAATAGAATTATTTTGTAGATTATCTCTTTTTATCAAAGATATTTTTTAAAATATATATTAGAGAATAATAATTTATAAAGATCAAGTATATATTCAGATAAGATCTGTGCATGTATTTGGAGAGTGTGTATTTATAAGGTTATACTTAGTGAGGTTGACTACATAAATAATTTATATATTTAAATAATAGATAAAGTTTTTAATTTGAAATTTAGTTACTTTTGATAATTTAACAAATAAATTAAAATTTTTTATTAAATTTATAAAAAAAAATAAAAAATAAAAAATAACTTTCTAATTCAATTGGTCCACCATGATTCTATAATGTTCTACAAAAATTACAAGTTGTTTTATATCTTCCTTTCCTACTCTTTCACTTTAACAAAATAATTACAAACTGTATCTTCTGGATGTCCATCATAGTTTTTTTGATCTTTTTCTATAATCAAAGTAGATGTACTACATTTTCTTCATTTTCTTACTAGAACTCATTTTAAGAAATAATATTAAATTTTTAAAATATAAAAAAATAAATTATTTACATTTAAATAAATAAGTTAAACCAAATATAGTAATAATAAATTATAAAGTCTAAAAATTATATTTTAAAAAGATAAATTTTAGAAAAATAAATAACAATAGTAAAAACTATATTTATAAATATTACTACCTAGATAACCTATCTATAATAAACAGATTTAGATTTTGAAATAAATATATTTACTAATTCTTACACAGACTTTTACCCAACTTAATATTTAATTTTAACTAATACAAATTTAATTCAAAACACAATATGTGCATAATTATGCTATCATATATGATGCTTTTTAATCATAATCTAAATTTTACTATATTTTATTTAGAGTAAAGTTATTTGTCACATATGTGATTGTGGCTTATATATCACCAAGCCAAACAGATTTCAGGATCAGGTGTAACATAGTACAATCAGGAAATTTAAAACAAATGTTTGTTTTGCCAAAAATTGCTCATAACTCAAAAAACAGCATAGGAAACCACCTTTAGCGCTCTAACAAAAAGTTTTCCTTAGGCGATTTTGCTAATAACTTTGCCATTACCTAGCACAAATATAAATGCTAACCCTAAACTTAATACTTTTAAAATTCTTATTAATCTTATAGGTGACAATGGCAATTAACTTTTTCCTTTATTTATTATAAATTAATAACAATGATTATTTTTTTAAAGTTAGCCCTAAGATTTAGAGCTGGATAAAATAAAGCATCAGGAAATATTTGCCAGTAATAATAGTGTTAATAAACTACTTACATATGTACAATATTCAATTTAAGTTTTTAATGATGAAATATTAAAAAGAAAAAATCTCAATACTCTAACAATAAATTTATTTAAATATTTAGATAAGTTTATTTTATATAAATAATATTAATCTATAGATAAGTGCTATTAAAAAAAACACAAGATTTTAAGCTTTGAATTTTCAAGGCTAAATTTATTTACTTCGAAGTTCCAAAAGCCAGAATCTAATTTTTAATAGTGCTTGAATACAAGCAAAAAGTTATCACTTTGCTTAATAACCACATGCAAAATATTTTGATTTATTAACATGGCTCAGTCTTTTCTAAAGTCTTAGAGGGCTTGATCTTCGCCAAATTTTGACTTTCTCAGGGGTTTCACCAGAGTTTCGCCAGAGTTTCGCAGTTTCACCAGTTTCGCCGTTTCGCCAGAGTTTCGCCAGAGTTTTGCCATGTTTCGTCTTTCACCAGCTTATTTTCGTCTTTCGCCATTTGCCAAAGATAGTTTCACCTGCCAACACTAGTTGGAGTGTTGTCATAAATTAAAATCTGATTTCCATAAGCAGACGTTATACCTCATCTTGTAATCTGATTTGTTTATGCCATAAAAAAAGTCACGCCCGTAAAATTTTGTTGACGGTACTGGGATGCAAAACTACGATTTTTGATACATCTAAACGTACCCTAAATTTCTATATTAATTTTTATGTGATGACTGTATCACAACCAAAGAAATTTTAGAGTACATTTATGAGGAGTATATCCTCTGGAATTCCGCATCATTATTATAAAAATAGTGGGATCACTGTTACGACCAGGGAGTGACTTTATATCCACTGAACCAACTTAGCTTAGGTCGTAAGCATTAAAATGTAGAACCAAATATTTATTAACGCACACAAGACACCAAAAAGTACTAATACTACTAGCGATGCAAGTAAGTATCTTCTTAATAAGTGTACCCGGTACACTATAGTCCTCTAAAATATCCCTTGTTCCAACTAAAACCCAAAGAAAATACCTTCTTAAAACTAACCTAAAATCTATTACAAGAATATCGCTCTATATATATATTTGAATTAGACTCAAATTGACTATCCTGCAAAAAATGCAAAGTATATTACTTAATTATAAACTAAAATATTACAAGGTTACACAAAGAAAGTTTAATTGTTAACTACGTTACGTTATTTTGCATAACAATCACCTTTTTGCAAACCACAATAATATAGACTTGATTTCTGTGCTATTCAATAGGATGTTTGCTAAAGTGAACTTTTCATTAACATAATTCTTGATCATTTTACATTAACATAATTCTTGATCATTAGATATATATATGGTTTTTTTCTCCTTTACAAAAAATAAAATGTATCTTTCACACTTAAACAACATGTTTATGCATTTATCTAAGGTTCAAAAAATTATATTCAGTGTAAATAGTATTCAACGCATTCATTACATG